TTGCTTCAGCCACAATTTAAATTGATTTAGTTGTGAGCACGGCGTCTCAAGTGTGGAGCGCATTCTGTTTTCACCATGATACTTGTTTTGACAGTGATGCATTTCAGTTGACATAGCTGAAATCCTCATGTAATAAATCTCTGCCTGAAAATTAATCATGTTTATAATATTCTGAGAATTAATAACACCCATTGCTCAAATCATTAACTTAAAAAAGGAGCTTCCAAAATCTGTTCTCGGCAGTAAGGGACCACAAATAAATGAATGTTTGATAAAATAATCCAAGTAGCAGTTTAACAAGCGTAAACTGGAATGTGGCTGCAATAACACAGAACTATTGTTTAAGGGTTGGCAGAGGCTGATGAGGTTCTTATTCCAGTTATGAAGCAGGCATCCACATGCATAATGAACTGCTCTCTGAATTATTAATGTGTTGCTTATTTAGCCTCATCTGTCTAGAAGATAATGTATCCTAACTCTAATGAGTGATCGGTTTTGTACATAATTACAGTAGCAGCAGTAGTGGGGAAATGTGTGCCTTCAACGAAGGAGTTCTAAAAATAAAGTCATCACATAAACTCTGATGTGGTTGCATTCTATCAAAATCAAACCCGAAGCATTTGAGAATTCATAATAAATTACAGGAGACAGAGTCATTATTAACATCATAATTTAACACAAAAGGTTTTACTTAATCATTCATTACAGATTGTATCTGTTCAAACGTGTATAAATGAGTTGGGTTGTTTTAAGACGTTAGCAAAGGCGACTGCTTTATGGCGGCTCAGCAACTGTGGTTTAGAAGGTCTGGGAAGGGAGAGGAAAAGTGAAGGTTGACAGAACAAGGTGATTATTTATGCCAACTTTGGAGTTAATTAAAAGTTTAAAAAAGAATCCTTTTGTGTGTATGTGTACATATGTACATATGTGTGCACATGTGTGTAGAGGCAGAGGGTGACACTGAATGTCTTCTTCAATCACTCGCTGTCTTATTTTTTTTGAGACAGGGGTTGTTTCTCACTGAACCAGGAGCTTACTGATTTATCTAGGCAGCACTGTACCCAGATTCTTACATGGGAACTTGGGATTGAACTCAGGTCTTGATGCTTGTGCAGCAAGCACTGTGCTTACTGACTCAGCACCCCAGTCCTTTTTATTTCTAAAATGTGCATATCTGGGATTTCTCAGACTTTGTTTTTATGCCTTCACGTGTATTTAGTTGGTTGGTTTTCTGGCTGTAAAAGAGTCTGGATCAGATCTACTCATCTGATGCAAAGGGTTCCAAATGGTCCTGACACCTGTTGCTGACAGTGGTCACCACTGAGCTCCCTGAGAGTCTAGAAAGGGGTCTTTGCTCATTTGTTCTTTGCTTTTCTTGTCTTAGCACAGCACATTATTAAAGGGATATAAGCAAACTTCCCAGTTATCAGTTCTGAATGTGCTGTCATTATCCTAGAAGCTATCCCTTTAGAGTGGCCACCTTGTATTTCCTCCTTCCTTCTTCAAAACGGGGCTGACTGTGAACCTATCACAGTGTGTTCATACTTGCTTGGGAAGTTTCAGGTTGGCTGAAAATTGTACTGTGTACACATGTACATGATTCTTTTTAAAGACCCTATTGCATATATGAGTATGTGTGGGGCCTGCGCGCGCGCGCGCGCACGCACGCACGCACGCACGCACACACACACACAGTGATTCAGCCTGGAAGAATCTATTGCGCTCTGAAACCTAAAGCACTTTAAGTTTATTCTCACACCAGAAACCCTGAATAGCTTTTCTGCCATAATTCTAGAAACACGTGATTTCTTGGGCGTTTCCTTTTTTGTGTAGGCAGTTCCTAAAAGTATACAATAGTCCTCATGGAATTCTCCTTCTTGGCCTGTAGCTAGGAATGACACCTAGAGGCAAGCGGGGGAAATGGAAGAACACTGCCGATTTGAGATACAACTACTGCTTATGGTCCCCAAAGCTACAGGCCTCTGCAGCAGTAGATTGTCTTTGGATGATTGTGCTGCTACTAACTCAGTTCTAGCTTCGTAGTGGCACGGAGCTTTACTATGTCTTTTCATCCAGCACCAGACCAACAGTTCCACAGATCCTTCTGGTGAAAATGGACACCTCATGTGGAGGCGATTTCCTCATATCCAGTTCGGCTTCTCAGAAAGCAAAAAGTGGGGTGATTCCTCAGAGCAAGGTCCTAGCTGGCACCTCACAGGAGAACTGGGTTGAAGGGGTAAGGAAGAAGCCGCATGAGCATTCAAGACATCAAGAACCTCTCTAGGATGGTAGGGGTATAGGGCAGAGTCAAACAGGCTCCGTTAAACCTTAGAGGCATCTAGTTCTGAAGATGTTCAGCAGAAAGGTAAAAGATGTTCCAAAAAGGTTCTGAGATAGAATCCAATTAAATAGCTATGGGTTGTAGACCAGGCTGGCCTTGAATTCACAGAGATTCTCTTGCCTCTGCCTCCCGAGTGCTAGAATTAAAGGTGTGTGCCACCATTCCCAGTTGGAATTCTTAATCTATTTAATATATTTGGATGTCAGGTGGAGCTTCATTTTCAAGGACAAAAAGCCACTGTTGGAAAAGGCAGAAGAAATCTTTAGCAGCAGTCAGGACAACTGGATGGATGCAGAGCCTCAAATACACTCTTATACCAAGGACCACCTTGCCCTGTTGACCTTTGTTCTTTTCCTCTGTGACCTGATTAGCTAGCTCCACAAGCACCCCCTGTCCCCATGGTGACCTTTTTATACCCATGGATGCTACAGTTGGTAAACCTCATTAGCAGCCGGTTTCAGGTGACAAAGGAGACTATGGTACAGAATGAGATATCATGGGAAGCTCCATTAACCAACCTAGGAAGAGCATAGTAGCCTGATCTTTTAAAATCCTGTGTAGGAAGTGAAGCCTGCAGTGCCAGAAATGGCTTACATCTAGTGGAGTTATTTGTCACAGGGCCCATGGAAACCCTTAAACATCTCAGGCTATTGTCAAGGCTATTGCTTACTTTCCACAACCTGATAGTAAGACCTTCTCTCACTGAACACACAGGAGTCAAGCTGTGCCCAACTACAGTCTTCACCCCCATTCACTAGTGTTCGTGGGACTGGAAGGTACCCTACATGCTACCAATAACCAACTACATACACAGCAGTCTATAACAGTGACCTGCCTGCGAGATGTGCTGGTTCAATGGTGACACAAACTTCGTGGGAATGGCCAGTCACTCTCTGATTGTATTTAAGGCTTACTCCACAAGATGGAACCCATACCTGATGGTGCTCAGGTGGCCAAGAACCTAAGACTGAATAAACTGTGGACCTAGGAAAAAAAAACAAATACTATTGTTTTGCTAAAGGGAAACAGCAATACAATGACTCCTTATGACATTCTGCTATATCCACAGATAAGTGTCTCATTCAGCCATCATCAGAGAAGCTTCTTCTTGCAGTAGGTGGGAACTAACGGAGACCCACAATGATCATATGCAGAGAATAAGAGATTTTGGAACACTAAGTCCTAAATAGTATTAAATTCCTTCCCTACAGGTTCAGGAAACTATGTAGAATAGGATGCAGAAAGGTCCTTAAGAGCCATAGGGAATGAATGATTCTAAGGAAACTGTCTTCTAGACACAAGACGACTAATATACATATGAACTCAGAGAGACTGGCAGCATGCACAGGCTCAATTCAGGCAGGACTCCAGTGCTAAAATGAGGAAGTGAACATGGACTTCTTAACCAAGAAGCCATCTCTAGTTGATAAACACTAGCAAAGGAAACATTAGTTTCTCCAATGGAGTCTCACTGGATACATTAACCACACTTAAGGGCAGGCTCCATGCCTAGCAGTAGATGGCCAATACAAAAATCTCAATGGTATTTTTGTAGATTTTTTTTTGGTCTCATGGCTTAGTTTGGACATTTTTTGTCTTACTGGTATTTTGCTAGTCTAGTATGGTATCTGATTTTGTGTTTTATGGGTTTTGCATGTGTGTGTTTGTATGTGTGTGTGAAGTTTATTTGGTTTTGTTTGCCTGTTTGTTTTCTAAAGAGAGAGAAAAAGAGGGCATGAAGTTGAGTGGGAAGGAGAGGAGGGTCTAAGAGGAGTTGGGGGAGGGGAAATAGTGAACAAAATACATCCTATGCTTGTCTTGTTTTTTTTTCAAGACATGGTTTCTCTGTGTAGTCCCAGCTGTCTGACTGGCCTCGAACTCAGAGATCCACCTGCTTCTGCCTCCAAGTGTTGGGATTAAAGGTGTGTGCCACCATGCCTGACTTAAAAAAGAATTACATTAAAAACAAACAAACAAACTCCTGGGTAGGGAAGTGGCATACTTAAATTTCATTTTTACTTTGCAGCTATCTTCACTGTAGTTTTTAGGCCAAGGGGAAAGAAGGGAGACAGGAAATCTTAAGGGAATTGCTACCATGCTAGTGTGAGATGATGGGGCAGAGTCCAACATGGCATCTTCATGGAAGTAGGGTACTGGTAAGATCTGAGGCATTTTAGCAGCTAGAAGAATTGCAGCCTGGTTGTGGCAGGGAATGGGGCTAAGGTAAGTCCTGCCCGCCTCTGGCCTCATCCCCCAAGAGGATGTAGGGGGAAGAGACTATACAGTTTAAATAACTTCACCTGAAGACTCAGAGCAGCCAGGTCTAGGAGTTTTTGGGTCTGGGAGTCTAAGCTCAAAATGGAAGCGAGGGCTAGAAAAACAGGGATGGAGGCTGTTAAAAATAGCTGCTCGCTGATGGACTGTGGAGAGAGCTGGGGAGAACTGGGAGGTACCCAACGGAAGGCCTGTGCCTCTGGACTTTCATACCCTGATTCCTCTTCTTGGGTGGCCTCCCCCTTTTTATGGCAGAGACTGTCTCATTTATGAACCTTGTTTTGAAATGGCTCAGTGACCTCTCTGATTCTTGATTCTCTTTTTGCTCACTTAGCAGTTGAGTATTGCCGAATGCCAGACCAACCAGAAAGAATCTGTTGCTTACCAGCTCTGCCTGGATGCTAAGGCGCTTTTTCTTCCTTTCTGTATCTTGATCAAAGCGGGGCACTTCCAGGGTGCTCAGACTACAATCCAGATGGCCATTTGTCAAGAACAGGGTGAGCTGAGTCATGGCTAGCTGATCACTGTATGAGAGGTTGAGGCCTGTTGTCCATACCTGGTTAAAACATGAGCCAGGGAAGTGAGGATATGATGAGACAGGAGAAGAAAGAGAGCCACACCAGTCCTAACTAGACCAAACCAGTGGCCAAGGAGATTCTTGGAGTAGAGATGTCTGTATTTCTGTTTCTGCATTACACAGCTGAGGATGGGGCTTGTTTCTCAGTAGAACATTCATGATGGTATAGGGAGTTTAAAACTGGCAATACCTGGCCAAAACAATCTAACAGAGATCTTGGTGATGTTTTTTGCTTGTGGTTTGTTATTTCAGAGGTGGACAGTGCAATGTTCTCTACTGTGATTGGATAAAAGCTAAAGAGGGTGGTAACTAAAGGAAATACTGAACATCTACCAAGTGTTTAACTAGCAGTGAGATAAGTAGGTCAGGAGCCACCTCCTCCTTCTCCTTTAAGTTTGTCATTTCAAATTCCCATGTGATCCCCAGTCCAACTTAGCTGAATGCTCAAGGCAAAGCCTACAAGTCACTAGAGTCAGAGATAGAGGCTATAAGCCATGCCATCAAGATAACCGATCCACATATGCCCAGTGAATCACAGCACAGTGTAATGTGTGCTATAGCAATGAATATGGAAGTAGAAAGGACAGACTGGGTTTGCTTGGTGGAATCAAAGCTGCCTATGAAGGTGACATTTGAGCCTTAAACTAGTAATCCAGTCATGGTATGCATGGACTAAGTACATATGCTATGCTAGGTACTTCACAGGTTTCTCTGATCTTTCTAGTTGTTTTTAAAACTGCAACACATACTCAGATAAAGAAACAGATGCAGGAGGTCCTTAAGTCCACATAATAAGGAAGGGTTAGCACTCAGATTTTAGTCTTATCTGTCTGGCTCCAAACCCACTCTCCTCCTGTGCACCTTCAAAGGAGATGCCATTGATGCTGTACCAATCCTCCAAATTAAACGTCAAAGTTGCAGAGGATCAGAACATGTTCTTGTTTAATACAGCCTATGCCATGGAAGTGTCTTGTGGAGAAAACATAAAATATTATATTTCTGCAGCATGCTGTAATTAGCAGTAATGCATTTTCACTGTAGGAAGTTGGAAACGAACACATTTTCATGAAGATTTGATTAAATATTTTTTCCTCTTAGAAGGCCTACAAGTGCCCCACTCACCAACTCTGTATGTTAAAATACATAACACATCTGCCCTAGAGTGGACTCCTCTCGAACAAATCTAGCATGAGTGACTTGAGTAAGCATTGAATGTAAATGGCATCATTATAAGAATATTAAGGGGTCAAGCTGTCAAGGCCCCTTGCTAAACTGAAGCTAATTTCAGGATCATATTCACACAGTAATCCTCTTTCATAACAGCAAATAAATCACATTTGCAACAATTGTTAAAAACTAACTGCCAAGTATCTGCTGCAGTTGTAAATATCCTATTTGTCAACTTAAATATTTACCGCTATATGGCAGTACATGTAAATCAGATGGGGACAGCTCCTGTTCCTCTGAGGAGGAAGTGAACTTTCTCTTCTTACACATCCTTCTCCGGAGTTTCTCTTTTCATGCTTTGGTGCTCTTGATCAAAGGCAGATGTATATACAAAAGATTGCTGATATTTATATTAATGATATTAATGTTTTTGTGGTAAGGCTTTTGGTAAGAAGGCAGCATTGTCTAGGGAAAAACAGAACCAAGGAGTGGGAGCACTGTATGTGTCCTCACAAGCAGCGTACCTTTAGACTAATACTGATGCTCTCTCCACCAGTGTCCTCAAGTGTCAAGAGCAAACAGTAATACCTCCCACATGGGGCTTATACACACATAAAATTGCCATATAAAGTTGAATACAAATGTTACTTACAATTATTAAGCATTCCCTTTAAGAGGACAGACTCCTCACTAAGCACAGTGGTGGAGCCCAAAATCTTAGCACTTAGAAGGCCGAATCAAATGGAATCACAAGTTCAAAGCCAGCCTGGACTAATGGCAGGAAATGCTGTATTTTAAAAAGTTAGATTCTTAGGTGGCACATTTTATGTGACTCTCAGACAGGTTTGCCCCATAGTGTCAGGCCTGGGGCAATGGTGCTGCCACTCTAGCCCCATTTTACTGGGGATCCTGAGAGCAAAGTCTGTTTCCTGCTTGCCTGAGATGATAGCGCATGGGCCAGAGCTCTGAATTTTCTAGGGGTCGGTATTTTTGCTTCTTGCTTCCCCAGGCTGCCCTAACTCCTTGGTTCACAAAGGAGATAGAATACATTTCCTTAAGCCTTTTACTCAACAGCAGGCTTGCCTGATTTGCTCAGATAATTGTTCCCGTTCTCCATCTGGTTTTCCCTGCTGAAAACATTGCCCAAGGCATGCTTGTTTGTGTACAGGGGTTCCAATATTCCCCTCTAGATTGTCAGCCCTTTAGGGGAAGCTGCTAAGCCTTTGTCTTCCTACAGTCCCCAGTGTGTGGGGTACGTTTAGTGAAGCAGGGTACATCTACTATTCTAGTCCCATACTGTGAATGCCTCTGGAGCCATTCAGTAGCAGGCACGTGGGGGCCCCTTAGGACGGAGTCCAGATTCAAACCAAGCAAATATTTCTCTGCACCTCCTTGGTGCTTGTCCCATGTTCTCATTGCCTCTTACTTAATCCTATTTTTAAATTTAAATTTCAGTGTTAACTTAAAAAATTTACAGATCCTTGCAGTGGATACTCCTGTCACAAGCAGGCCATGGCAGTGGCCTACACAAAAGCACTGTGAGAAGGGATAAGGACAGTGTGTAAGAGGTGACTTTGATATGACTTACTATGATGGCTTGTAATGATTGGCTTGCTGGATTAATTGATTAGATTTGAAGGTAAGACTAAGGGTTTACTTTTTTTTTTTTTTTTTTTTTTTTTTTTTTTTTTTTTTTTTTTTTTGTTTTTTTTTTTTTTTTTTTGTTTTTTCGAGACAGGGTTTCTCTGTGGTTTTGGAGCCTGTCCTGGAACTCGCTCTTGTAGACCAGGCTGGTCTCGAACTCACAGAGATCCGCCTGCCTCTGCCTCCCAAGTGCTGGGATTAAAGGCGTGCGCCACCATCGCGCGGCAATGTGTAGCCCAGGCTGGCCTCGAACTCGTGATCCTCCTGCCTCTGCCTCCTTCTGCAAATCCTACCGGCGTGCGCCACCACTACCGGCGGGTTTACTTTTAAAAAACAAAATACCCAATACAATCAGTTCACTTCATAAATGGACCAACTCTGGCATATGTGGTGGGGGTGCTTCTCCCTGGGTCACAGCTAAACATCAAAGGTGCACAAGAGCCTACAAATCCTGCTTCTCCGTCAGAAGTCATTTGATAACTGTTTGCTTGATGATTTTTAAAAATAATTTTTCTGAAAATAGCAAGAAGTGTAGGGAAACTCACAGCCTTAAGGACACAAAATTATTCACCTCAGCATTACCTGTAATACTGAAAAAGACAGGTGGTGGTGGTGCACGCCTTTAACCCCAGCACTCAAACAGGTGGGTCTATGTGAGTTCAAGGCCAGCCTGACTTGCAAAGGGAGTTCTAGGATAAACTCCAAAGCTACAGAGAAACCCTGTCTCGAAAAAACAAAACAAACAAACAAAAAAACCCCAAAACCAAACCAAAACAAAACATTTGGGCATTAGACAAAATTACAATGTATCCAAGTGATGGGATGCTGTGTGATATGTGATATTATCATAAGAGATGATGGTTGTGAATAACTTGATGATATAGTATGCACAAAAAAGAATAGGTAGCTATATGAGCAACATGACTTGATCTTTGCAAAAATAATATATACACAAAAGACTGGTTGAGAACATAACAACATGCTAATCATCGGTATCAATATTAGCAAGATTATAACTGCACTTTCATGGAGATTTTCAGACACATTCAGGATATACACTATCTAACATGGTAGCTGCCAGGCATGTAGCCACTAGGCACTTGAAATGTTGCTAGTGTAAACTGAGATGTGCTGTTAGTAGAAAATACATGCTATATCTCCAAGACTGAGGAGATAAGGAGTGTAAAATACCTCATTAATAATATCTGTACTGATTGAATATGGAAATGATATTACTCTGTTTATGATGGGTTAAGTAAAAATATTATTTTCATCTCTTCGTTCGCTTGTAAAAATGAGATTACTAGAAAATAAAAGTTATGTATGTGACTTAACATCCTTTAGTCCACTGCAGTTTTACCAAAGAGGTGGGTCCAGTGTGGGGAGCGGAGGCCCCAGCTCTCCACCTCCCTGAATGTACTCTGTCTGCATTCAGAGAACTAGCACAGGACAGAATTGTTCTGTTCTCAAGTTCTTTGGGATGGCAAGGCAATAACATGCTCCTGTGTGAAAAAGGGTGGGAGAGAGACCTAATGTAAAGCCCCCTTTGCCTTAGGTATTCTGGGCAGATGGAGGCCGCCTGCTCACCCCTGCTGCTTCTGCCTTTCTCTGGTGACAGGCAGGATGGATGGGTGATGGAGCATGCAGATGCGGGCAGCTGTGCCTTGGTCCTACATTCTGCAATTGTCTTAAAGTGCAAGTAAAGTTCCATGGCAAAGAGTTTTGTCTTGCTCCTTGCTTGCCTTCTTTTATGAACATCATTGTAAGAACGAGACGGAGGGACTAGTTTATAGATTGTATAGTAGTCATTGAAGAACCAGAATTTCTGAGCTTTAAGAATCCACAGAGGTTTTACAAATTCATCTTCATGTTTTCATCTACTTTTCTTTTCTATAGGGAAACTGAGGCCTGAGCAGTTAACAGGCTAGTGGTTCAAGTTTATGCTATCAGTGTCTGAGATACGTATTTGTAATCCACAATTAAGTCACCTCCCTGGGCCCCACTTCCCTTGACTAGTCACTGGAGATTATGTTCTGGATAGACCTTCCCTTCGTTGCCCCTAGATATATCTATGAGGCCAACTAGGAATTATGAAGATTTACCATCTGGTGATAATTTTTTAAAAAATATTTTATTATTCTCTAAATTGGCCAATCTTAAGAGATATC